AAGTGATTTCGTTCCCCAGAGCAGATTCATCACAAGGCTGATATCTGCCTGTCTGAGTGAAGTTCAGCACTGAGGAGGGACCCTCATTGCTCCACCACCGATGGCTTCACTGTGTAATAGACGTGCTGTTCCTAAATGTCCTTGGATATTTCCTAATGGCCCCCACTCCTGTTACAAGGCATCTCCAGTTACATTACATAGACTCTTCTCTCTCTTATTTCTCATCTAACCCTGAGTCTTGTCACTTTTTTGTGCAAAGAAATCCAGCTGTCTTTGACTGTCAGTCTTCAAATCCAGCCCTTGAGGCCATCTTCTACTTTCAGTAGACATACCAGGTACAGAGGACCGTAATATGGATGATGGCCAAGGAAGGCTGTGAAGAGTCAACCCCACAATTGGCTTGTTTTGAGAAGTGCATCTGGCTGAAGCCTATGTGCTGAGGTCAGAGTGACTCGCACCCAAATTCCATTCCCACAACTAAAACCTTCAGACTAGAAGGACAGTGTTCTAATTATAATCACATATTTTGTCTATTCTGTTCCTAATTAGAGAATGACTTGTCCTTTATGAGCCTTGTTTACATTAATTTCTGTAGAAACCACACAGCACTTTTACCCCAATTGATTGCCAATAAAAGCCAGTGCTGGGACTCTGCAGCACCTTTGTTGGCTACACCGGCATTGGTCATCCTGGCCCCTGCTTTCTCTCTTAGTTCTGTCTCTTAGTGTATTCTTTCTCAGGCCTGTGTTGTATACTGGGCAGGTGGGTACTAGAACCTGGCTACACGGGTTGCTGGCAACCAGGTCCTAGAACTTGGATATTTTGCCTCCTCCAAAATTCATATGTTGAAAACTTTATCCCAGATGTAATAGTATTAGGAGGTGGGACCTAGTGAGACTTGGTTAGGTTTTGAGGGTTGATCTCTCATGAATGTATTAACACTGCTATAAAAGGCTTTGTGGGAAGGAGTGTTCTCTTCTTCCTACTTTTCTGCTATGTGAGGACATGGTATTCTGCCTCTCCTAAGGGCACAGCATTCAAAGCACCAGCTTGGAAACAAAAGAAAGTAGACCTAGTCGAACCTGCTAGCATCTTTACCTTAAACTTCCCAGACTCCAGAATTTCAAGAGAATAAAGTCCTGTTCTTTATAAATTACCCAGTCTTAGAAGTTCTGTTATAGTAGCATGAATGCGCTAAGATACAAGGGTATTTTCCTAACCAAAGGCAGCTTTCTTCCTAAGAGTAGGGCTGTGTGTGTGTGTTTATGTGTGTAAATATATTATGGCTCACTTGTTCTTAATATTTCCTTACCTTTCATATTTTAAGGTCCCAGATGCTTATATGTATGTATGTATATATGTGTGTGTATGTGTATATGTATTTGTTGTATTGGGGATTGAATTCAGGCCTTTGCACTGAGCTACATCTCTAGCCCCTTTTTATTTTTTAATTTTAAGACAAAGTCTTGCTATGTTACCAAGTTGCCCAGGCTAGGCTTGAACTTGTGATCCTTCTGCTTTGGCCTCTTAGAGTGCTGGGAATATAGGTGTCCACTGCCATGCCTGGCTCCAAAATTCTTTTTAAAGAGAGTTTTGAGCTCATAATTAGGATCAGGAGGAGAAGAATGCAAATTGTCACTATGGGTAGACAGAGAGCATATTGCAGAACAGCAGAAGACACCTGTAAACCATGGAACCGAGCAAAGGGTAAGGCCCAGATTAAAAGTATCCTCTGGAAGTGAATACTATAATGGAGCATATAGGGCCAGGCTTTTGGATTTGGGACACAGGGTGAGGGGTGGGGTACTGGAGGCCTCTGAGATGAGCAGGTGTTTGATGGAGATTGGGAAGGAAGGAGAGGACCCACTGGATCAGTAACCCACCTCTGTAACTGTTGCTCCAGCTCCCAGAGCCTGGCTGTCAATCATCATTGAAGAAGACCTGGGAAATACTTCTTGAGAACTGGGAGCCAAGGCCATGGTGAGGCCAGAGAAGGGTACTGTTAGGTCATTCTCACCACACAGAGTGAACAGGAATGGCAGTGTGGACTGTGAGGACGAGCAGTGGAGGGTCATTAGAACAGGAACATAAATACTCGGTGTCTTCATTGCTTCCTTCTAAGATGGGCCCAGTCCAAATAGGATAGATTCTTATGTTTCTAGCTGCCTCAAGCCAGGGATCACTCTTGGGTGATTCTAGAGCCCAAGTCTCTTTTATGTTAATAACTATAATGATAACCAGTGCTTTTAACTCTTTTACATGTATTTCCTCATAATATTTTGGAGAATGGTATTATCTCTATTTTATAAGTGAGGAAACTGAGACACACAGATGTTAAGGAGCTTGTCCAGGGTCAGAGGTCAGACAGACAGCAAGTACACAGCTGGAAACCAAAATACAGGCTGTTTCATATCAGGGTCTAAGTATTTATCCATTACACCAGCTGGCTTTGAACAGACGCTCAAATCACAAATTGGGTATGCTTGGATCAAAGGTAACTCCAAATAGAAGGCCACTCATCTTCTCAATCAGAAAAATGACAAAAGATAAGGTGTGGCACTTTAACTAGATAAGTTTTGAATCAACTGTCAACCTATAATAAATGAATCATAGAAAAATTTGAAGGTCACACATGTTAGGATTCTGAGTTGCAGGGTACAGAAACTGGCTCTGAGAGATGAGAAGATATTGGACAATAGGAAGAACTGAAGGGGAGCTTTGAGGACCAGGCTAGAGAGGAACTCTTCCCTTGCACAGCCTGTCTGCAGAGGGCATGGCTGGCCCAACTTCATTGCTCTTGCTGTAGGCCTTCGACCTGGGATGCTGCTGTTAGCCTGATGACACTGAAAGGAAATCTATATTCAGAATGTGCAGGATCACAAGTGTACAGCTCAGGAAATTGACAGAGTAAACACACCCAAATGTCCTGCACTCAACAGGGTGCAGAACTTTATTATCACCCCCCCCATGTAAAAGTAAATATTTAAAACAATTTCCTCAAATGGTGACCCAACGTGTATTACGACCAAGAATTCCACTTGTTCCACGTTTCCCATATCTTGCACTATTCTCACTTTCACTGTAGCCATTCTGGAGAGTTTGTAGTGGTATTTCCTTGTGGTTTTCATACACATTTCTCTGATTCTTTGTGGTGCTTGGTGCAGGGGCTGCTGGCAGATGTGTCAAAGCCCAGTCATCTAAGGGCACTTGATGACACAACTCTGTCATTTAGTGCAGGTGCATGACAGACTTTTGTTATATTAATAATGAATTCAGCATGGATGACAATACATGTATCACATGGCTATGCAAGGTCATGCTTCTGTTTTGTCTCAGAAAAACTGATGAAGACACACAGCTCTTGAGCACTGGAGCTGAAGCTCCCACTCTTAGATGCTGCCCTGATGCTGGGACTTAAAGTGTGGTTCCAGGTTTTTTTTGTAATCTCTGACCCATGCTCCATGCATGTTCTTTTCTTTGGGAACCTCACCTGATCAGACCTCCCTTTGGTATCTCCAAATCCTGGTGAATGCTTGATATTCAATTTTTTTCATTTGAATTGTCTACCTTCTTCTTATTGATTTGTAGAAGTTTTTTTTCAATACATTCTGGATAGAAGTCCTTTAACAGGTAACTTGACTACAAATGTTTTTCTATGCCAGTTTTATACTCTAACTTTTTCCTAACTTATGATATTTTTGAAAAAATATTGTAATATCCTAATTTATCTGTTTCTTTCTCTTTATTGTTAGAGCTTCTTATATTCTACTTAAGATTTCTTCACATACTTCAAGGTCACAAGGTATTCTTCTGTGTGTCCTTCTGAAAGCATTATTTTATGAAGATATTGCTTTCTAAATTGATCTTTAAATATTTCAGTTATGACAATGAACAGTTTCGTTTCCTCTGAGAATAATTACTAAATCTGTGTTAAGATGTTTTGTTCTCTTTTATACAAATCATGTCAGGTTAATGTCAGATAAGCCCTGGAAGCACTAAACACTACCATTGACTGAGATCATGTAAGGCTAATGGGTTTTTACAAAATAAGTTTTTTTTTCTGTTTGAAATAAAGTAGTTAGGGAAGAGTTCTAATGGTAGAGGACAAAGTCTCACTTTAAAGTTGGGAAAAATAGAATAGATCAGTCCTCTTTTGATTGCAGATGTCAAAAATTCAACTCTAAGTAGCTGAAGAGGGAAAAAAGTGAAAAGGAGTGAAAGGAGTTTGAGCTAGTTCTAAATCCTAATAGATGGAAGGACAGGATCAGGCTGACTTCAGGCACAGCTGGATCTAGGCACTGTAACAGCATATTAGGGATCTGCCCCTACATCTCTCTGTCTGGAACTCTACATCTGCTCCCCACTGTGTTTTGGCCTCATACTCAAGAAAAAGAAAAGATAGCCATGAGCAACTCTAAATCTATATTATAATTTACAGCCCAAGAAAAAAGAGTGGGGAAAATTATTGAGGAAAAGAAAGCTTCTGTTTAAGAGGGACAGAAGGGGAATCAGAAAGTGGGTTGTCTGCCCACCCCAGTTCTCAAAGATGTTTTATACAGCAAAACCATGTGAGTTCCATCCCTAGTACCAAAACAAAACAAAAGAAAAAACAAACAGTGGCCATATAAAGTAGTAAAGCTTACTTGTGTCCTATGCCCAGCCCTAAACCTGTTACTGTGGTCCAGTGGATGGAATAATCTACATGGTCAGGCTGGGCCATGTGCCTGTGCTTATGACAGTGGGGGAGAAAGTCAGGATCACTGTTAGGAATGGCTCATTTTGTACACAGCACAGGGTGGGATTCTCCAGTAGGAAAATGAGACAGCATTTTGAGACACCCATTTTAATACATTGTTCTATGTAGGTGACAAGAAAAGCAATACTCAACATCAATGGTTCTCTTAGTCTTTCTTGGAATTTCTGCTTCTTATAAAATTCTGTATGACAGAAGCTGTGTTAAGTGCTGGGAATACAGAGAAGCTATTTTTTGTGCCTCTAAGGTCTGCACAATCTTTCAGATGGATGGAAATATCAAAGGACAAACACAAGACAGGGTGATGTTTGCAAATGGAGACCTGTGCAAAGTGCAACTGGGTGCATCTGTGGTGTCTGGAGAATTCCAGGTGAGTAGTAAATTGAGCTAACTTTTAAAGAAGTCACTTCTTTTGGTTGATAAGTACAGAAAAGGCAAGGGTGGCTTCTTCGGCAAAAACAACAGCGTGGGAGAGGCAGAGAGCCACAACAGATCAGGGCATGTTCAGTGAAAACCCAAATTCAGTGTGCTCTGTGGATGCCATGGGAGACATGGGTGTTGGGATTAAAAGGGCCAAGTGGAGATGGTGCTCTTGAAGGGCAACATTAAGGCCAGTGAGGGTACTGTTCCCTATAAGTGGCTACTCCACAGCCACACTGAAATGGAGTCCTGTTCAAAGAATCTGTCTAGGGCCTTTGGGATGAGGGGTCCCAACCTTTCCATTACTTATCAGCAAATGTACACACCTGAACTGCTGCTACTAAGAGGCATACATCTCTGAGTGGAATTCAGTGCTACTCTTTCAGTAACTCCTGATCTTTTCTTTTTCCCTTCTTCTCTCTGTGTGTGTGCATACCTGCATGCTCTGGTGTCTTCCTTCCACTTTGAAAGATGGCCTGCCCTGTGTCATGTTGACAAGGAGAAGACACATTTGGAAAATGTCATGGCTAAATAGTCCCATGAGAGACAGCTTTGTCAAATGGCAAATATGGGAAAGACAAAGGCCTGCTAGGGTCTGGAGAGAATGTGATATCATGACTAAGCTGGGGCTGCCCAGTGGTGCCTGACAAGTGGCCTTGGTGCTTGTTTCAGAGCAAGCTAAAGGCAAGGAATGTCATTAGGGAAAGGTAGAGTAAAGCTCATTTAAAAACCTCTGATTGTATCTATTTGCTCCTGGAAATTTAAAAAGTCCTAGGAAGACATCATAGGGAACTTCAAAATAGAAGTGGAATAGGTGTCCTGAATATCTTGGTTAACACAGAGCTGCCCATCGGCTTCTGCTTCTCTTACCCAGTCAGTTGAAGACTTTGGGAGGATTCAGATTTGACTTTCCTTGGTTGAGAGGCTCCTTTCCAGGGCCAGATGAGGCTGCAGATTCTCAATGCTCAAACTAATTTTTTGTTCTCCCTCATCATTAGCAGAATCTAGGGCTTGCAGGGCTGAGCCCTGCATTTAAAAATATTGAAGGGTTTATTTACTACAAACATGTTTTGGGCTGGTCCTCTCTTTGATCTAGTTTACATGTTTAAAGGTGACAGATTGATAGCTCCCACAAATTATTATTTTCTAAAGTGTGTTTGATGATGATTGTATCACTTGGGCTAAAGTGTCATGATTGATCTAATCAGATGTCCTTCCTGGTATACTGAAAAGGAGATTGCCTAAGAGTCATTAGAGACTCAAAACCTAAACACCAGCTATACCTGGAACACACCTCTGAGAAGCAGTCAGTCCATAAGGGTTCTAAATACAAGCAATAAAAATACTCACAATAAGCAATATTGAAGTATCCACCCAGGAATTAAACCAAAAATAGCACCAACAACAAACAGAAGTGGGAAGACACCAAAACAAGGTGCAAACCCAGACTTTCAGCTCACTAAAGGCAAATTCTGTGGAAAACGAGGTGGAAAAATCTGGTAATCAACCACATGGATACTCTGAACTGATAGCATAGGAAGCAACAAAACTGATGAATGAGGCTCTAGAAAAACTCAAAACAGACATAATTTCCCAGATAAGTACAGAGATAGTTTGCAGAATGAAAGACATGATAAGAGACTGTAGAACAGAAACAGATAAAAAATAGATGAGCTCAGGACCACGATGAAAGCCCTGAGTTCCCAGCATAGGAAAAAGAAAAAAAAAAGGAATCCATGAAACAGATCCAAACAGATATCCAGATTAAACTCTATTGCAAGTATTCACAGCAGAAGGAGCCAATGTGAAGACAGAATATCAGATATAGAAGATAGGGTTGTGGTTAGTGACTATGAAAAGAGAGATTTCTTGGAAATAGTAAGGGACCATGATGAATAAATCTAGCAGCTTCTAGATTATGCAAAGAAAAATAACGTAAGACTGATAGGAGTCCACAAAAAAGCAGGAGAAAGTACAAATGACATAAAAATATTCACAGAATTTATGACAGAAAACTTCCCAAACAGGAAAATAATTTGACTTTCAGATAAGTGAGGCATATAGGACTCCAACTAACCATGATGAAAAAAAAAACAAAACTATTGCTAGACATATAATAGTCAAGACCCCAGAAACCCGACAGATAAATAAAATACTACAAGCAGAGAAAACAAAAAAATCACATGCAAAGGAAAGCCCATCAGAATCACAGCAGACTTTTCAACCCAAACCCTCAAGTCGAGAGCCTGGAGTGAGGTATTTCAAGCCAAAAGAAAACAAAACAACCACCAACTTACATTGATGTATCCTGCAAAACTATCTTTCAAAATGGATGGAGAAATAAGATACTTCCATGACAAAGAACACCTGAGAAACTTCATGAATACCAAAGCAGCACTCCAAATAATTCTAAACTATATCCTAGAAAAAAAACAATGAAGATCACATCTCCATGAGCCCAACAGAGCAAAGCCATCAGGCAATGCAAGAAATTAAAAGAAAAGGGGGGAAAATAAAAAATAAGAGCCAACAACAGAAAAAATATCATAACAAGGATAAATCAATGCATATCAGTTATAACCATCAATGTTAATGGTCTCAATTTACCCATCAAAAAATAGATTGACAGAATGGATTAAGAAGCAAAATCCAACAATATGCCGTATACAAGAAACACACTTAATTCAAAAAGAAATTCATAGACAAAGTAAAAGGATAGAAAACAGTTCTCCATGTGACAGGTACCTGGAAAAAAGTGGAGGAGGGGTTAGCTATCTTGTTTGCCGACAAAATAGATTTCAAACCAAAACTAAATAAGAGAGACAAAGAAGTTCATTATATTCTTGTAAAGGGAACAGTACAAGAGGAAGCAATGACAGTCATAAATATATATGTACCAAATACTAGTGCATCCAACTATAAAACAAATATTAATGGACATGAAAAACAAAATACTAATACAATTGTAGTTGGGGACATCAATATCCCACTGTCACAAATAGTTCATTTAGACAGAAAATCAACAATGAAACACTGGAACTGAACCAAACTTTTGGACTAATGACTTAATAGATATCTACAGAGTATTCCACTCCACAAAATCAGAATACATATTATTTTCAGCTGCACATAGTCATTCTCCAAAATAGACCACATACTAGCTCATAGAACTTGTTTAAGTAAATGCAAAGGAATTGAAGTTATCCCCTGTATATTATCAGATCATAGTGCAATTAAATGGAGATCAATAGCATAAGAAACCTCAAGAACTTCACAAACACATGAAAATTGAATAACATTGTCCTGAACAACCAATGGAACACAGAGGAAATTACAGAAGAAATTAAACACTTTCTACAATTAAATGATAATGCTAATACAACATACAGAAATTTATGGGACAAAGTGAAAGCGGTTCTATGAGGGAGATTTATGTAAGTGAATGCTCATACTAGGAAAACAGAATGAGCTCAAATAAAAACCTAATGCTGAACCTCAAGCTCCTAGAAAAAGATGAGCAAGACAAGCCCAAAGCTCCTACAAGGAGGAAATTATAAAGATCAGAGCAGAAATCAATGCAATGGAGACTACAAGAAAGATAAAAATAATGAACCAAAGAGTTGGTTCTTCAAAAGAATAAATAATTGACAAACCCTTACCCAACCTTATCAGAAAAAAAAAAGAAACAAACAAAGAAAGAAAAGGCTCAAATCTACGCAATTAGGAACAAAAAGGGTGAAATCACAACAGATCCAGCAGAAATCCAGAGAATCATCAATACTTACTTTGTGGAAAACATAGAAGTAATAGATTCCTAGATACATATAAACTACCAAAGTTGAATGAAGAAGATATTAAAATTCTAAACACCCCAATCCCAACTGTGAAATTGAAAACATAATTAAAATTTACTATCAAACAAAAGCCCAGGTCTTGATGGTTTCACTGATGAAATCTACAATAAATTTAGGGAGAAGCTAATGCTACTAATTCTCAAACTCTTTAATGAAGTTGAAAGGGAAGAAATACTCCCAAATTCATACCTAGAAGCAAGCATTACTTTGATTCCAAAAGTGTAGAAAGACCCAACCAAAAAAGAGAACTACAGGCCAATCTCCATAATGAACATAGATGTGAAAATCCTCAATAAGATACTGCCAAACAGAATACAGAGGATCATCAAGAAGATCATGCACCCTGACCAAGTGGGTTTCAACCCAGGGAGGCAAAATATGTAAATCAATAAATGTAATACATTATATTAACAGAGTCAAGGACAAAAACCATATGATCATCTCAATAGATGTGGAAAAGGTTTAACAAAATCCAACACACATTCATGATAAAAATCCTACAGAAAATTGGAATAGATGGTCTATATCTCCACCTGATAAAGGATATTTATGGAAAACCAACAGCTGGTGTCATACTAAATGGTCAAAAAGTAAAACCTTTCATGCTAAAATCAGGAATGAGACAAGGATGTCCACTATCACAACTACTGTTCAATATAGTTTTGGAAACATTAGCCACAGTGATTAGACAAGAGAAACAAAAGCAATAAAGATAGTAAAGAGAGAAGTTAAACTGTCATTATTTGCTGATGACATGATCTACATAGAAAACCCAAGAACTCTTCTAAAAGACTTCTAGGCTTAATTGACAGTTTCAGCCAAGTAGCTGGATACAAGGTCAACACTCAAAAATCAATAGCCTTCTTGTACACAAATAACAGATTCACTGAGAGAGAAATTGGGGATATAATTCCTTTCACAATAGCATCTAAAAGAAATATCTAGGAATCAATCTAATGAAGGAAGCAGAAGATCTCTATGTTGAAAACTACAGCACTTTGAAAATAGTGATTGAAGAGGATATAAGAAAATGGAAAGACATCCTTTGTTCCTGGGTAGGAAGAACCAATAGAGTAAAAATGGCCATCCTTTAAAA